AGAAGAACTCTTTATGCTTGGGAAGAAAATGAGGTTCTAAGGCTTAATGCTGTGTTAGGTAATGGGCCAAGATTACAGTTGGAGATAGGGGATTCTGTGAGATGGAAGGCTGGGAATATAGGTGTATATAAGGTGAGTGTTGTATATAAATGGTGTGATTTGGTGAATGGCCAAACTTCCAGTTCAACTGGCCTCATTTGGTATAATTTGTCTCCTCCTAAGGCCAAGTTTATCACCTGGCTAACTTGGAAAGGCAGATTAAAGACAATTGAGTTTTTGTATAGAATTGGTGTGTTAAGGGGGAATGCAGAGTTGTTCTATGTGTTCTGTAAAGAGGAAGTAGATGCTCTAAACCACATTTTATTGTTTTGTCCGTTTGTGTGGCGAGTCTGGTCATGTTTGATTCAATGGTGGGGGCTGCAGTGGGTATCTCCTGGGTCAGTTGAGGGTCTGCTCCAATGGTGGTTGAGTTGGAAGTTTAATAGGAAGGAAAAACAAATCTGGAGAGCTATCCCTTCAGTTGTGATCTGGTCAATCTGGAGATGGAGGAATGAATGCATTTTTTCTGGTTTACAACCATGTCTGGGGGATTTATGCGATCTCATTAAAACAAGGTTAGCCTTTTGGTTGAAATCCTATGATCCTGGATGCTTCTATTCTATCAATGATATTGTCTCCAATATTCAACAAGTGAGAAGAAGCTGTTAAAAGTTTGATAGGCTGCAGAGGGGTCATGAATCTGATTAGAATGGAGGCAGAGCAGATCAGGAGTTCTGTCTTGTTGAAAGTTTGGTGCTGCTACTGGGTTTCTTTGGTTTTTGGCTGCTGGGTCTGTCGCTGTAAAGCTTTGTTCCAGATGTGGAGTTTGAATGATCTGGAGCAAGTTCCCTGCCTATCCTTCTGTTGCATGCTGTCTGCTGGAGTATGCTTTTGCCTCTGCTGATGTATGCTGTTTGCTAGAAATGGTGGTTGATTGCTCTGTTGCTGCTGTGATGGATTTCAAGTTGTTGTGAGACTTGGGTGCTAGTGGTGAAGTTGCTAGCTCAGTTAGTGGACAGTTGCTGAGTGGTGATTATAGGTGATGCCACTGCTGCTGCTAGCTGGGTGGTAATTATAGGTGATGCTATTGAATTGGTGTGGAGTTCTCTGGAGTGTGGTCTGCATTGAAGTCTGTGGGCTTATAAGGAGCTGCCCTATTGAATTGTGTGTGTCACGCCCCAAGCTCCGTGACAACGCTGCACACTCATATAAGTGAGCATGCAAGGCTAAGAATCCAATCACATAACCCACAATGTAAAATACTCAAATTAAATCCTTAATTGTCATAATGCCAAAATCCATAAAAATAAATAGTTCTTATATGAAAATGTCCACCAAGTCCACTAATTTAATCCACTAACAAAACAATAATCCAAGTACTTAAATCATAGTCCTACTCTCGGTACTCCCACATGTAAAAAAATCCCGCGCTACTCTACTCTTCAGAATCTGAAAAAAAATAAGGGTAAGCTAGATAACCCAGTAAATAACCAACCATCACTGCTAGCTGGATCAAGTATACAAAAATAAATAAATAAATCGATAACCAATAAATACAATTTTTTCTACAGTTCAATAAATGAACAATTATTGTAAGATGGTTTCATAGCTAAAAATAAACAATGTACAATACATTTTAAATGAAAAGCCAACAAGATAATTCAAAGTAATTCGTTGTTCAAATCGATGGTTCGATATTCAGATGGTTCAATGATTTGATTCATAAAACCTAAGTCTTAATGACTACGATCACTTAGCCCGTGACAAGGCTCAGAACCATACATAGGCCGGTGGTAAAGCCCCAAAAGAAATTAGTTTCTGTGCCAATAAATAACCCCCATTGGGTAGGGTCCAAATCATAGTCAGACTAGAGTGATATTCAAATATTCAAACAATACACAACTTTAAAATAAAATATTTGATATTTTCATAATAAACATTTGGTACAATTTTCAGAATAGTTTCACAAAATATTCAAATAACTTTCATAATAATATTCTATATTGTTTTATACTTGACCCATATTTTATTTTAAGAGAACATGAAGGCTATAAATAAATATTTATAATTTTAATCGATTCAATAGGAATAAAAATGAACCAACAGTGATAGAAGGTTACTTACCTTCAAACAGCTAAAATCATATTTTCCAAGCTAATCTCAAATTACCAAGATCCACCTCAATCTCACAAACCTAATAAAATATTACACCGCATAAACAATTATTATGTGCACCCATCCATCTCTTCTTGTAACAGCAATAGAATAAATTAACCCAATAGTCTATTAGGAACTCCCACAATTTAGCATCAAAACAAAGCCATCACGGCTTCAGAAATTCCCAACCCATATTATTCTATTGTTGTTTATATACATGTAAAAATTTGTAATTGCTTGTAGTCAATCGTGTATCCCACAAACACACCACCATTAAACTTAACCCATCACATATCAATCTCAAAGTATGAACCACCCAAACGGGATGCAAAATACACTCTAAAATCGAGCAAAATCGAGACCCTCAACATAGACTACATCGATATATTTATTTAATCATATATGCCCATACAATCATCTATTGATATATTAACACCAAAATCATAGATAAGAATACAATAAAATAAATCTTACCTAAGTGATGAATAAAGCAAAACCACCACTCTATGAATCCTCCCTCTTCACTTTGGTTTTGTTTTCTTTTTTTTCTTTTTCAATTTTTCCAAACCCTTGCTGCCTTCACCTTCCGCAGCATCCGCGCAGCTCCGTTTTCTTTCTTTCTTTTTTTTCTTTTTTTGTTTTTCTTCTTTTACATAAAGGGTTATTAACCTAATTCCTTAAAATTACTAAATTATCCATACAAATTAATTTAACTACTACTTTATCCAAAAATAATTCTACATATAACTTGGGTTTTACATTACATGCATTATACATTCATAAATGTTTATTTTGAATCTACAGCATGTAACACTAGTTAATAAAAAACAAAATGAATGCCCTATGGGCTTACATCTTTCCAAGATATTACTTGGGTAAAACAAAGAGATTCATAAGCTCTGTACATATATAAAGTCCTTGGCTTGAATAAACATTTAACACAAAATACAAAATAGAGCCTCCAGCTCCAAAGCCCTCCCAAGCTACGTCTTTGGAGGAAACATGTCACCGGTATCTGAAAATGATTTCCCAAGTAGGGTGAGCCAAAGCCCAGCAGAGACAGTCCAACACAATATATGAAGTTTAACTAAGATATGAAAAATTTTTTTTTTTTTTTTTTTTTTTTTTTTTGGCAGTTTCTCAATCATTTCTCTACATTTCACTAGCAAATTCTCCAGTTTGGGAGAAAAAAATCTATATTTCCAAATAATTAACTTTAATAGAAGGAGGGTAGACATAATAATAATTAATATTTTTGTTAAGTTAATGTAAAACAAAAAAAAATGTCTAATTATATTTTTGGTTTCAATTATGTTGATAAAGAATATTCACTTAATACTAATATTATTCACTTTTTTGTGTTGATATAAATTAAAATTTAAATTTTTACAATAATTATTTTCAGCAAAAAGTTACTTGTATTTTTATCTCCTAAAGTTTAAATTATGGATCTGTTCCTTATTAAATATCCTGTAAATAATTGGACCTTTTTAACATTTTTGTTTGGTAAAAAAAAGGAAAATTGAAACTTGATATGAAAATTTTGTTTAATAAACTGTTTTTGATAATTACTTTTGGGAACAAGAACAATCCTTTTTTTTATAGTGAAATTAAAAGATCCTTTCAATAAAAAATGTGTAAACATTCACACTTTCGTATTTTGAAAATACAAAATCATTTGATAAAAAATTGTGAATTTTGACAACTTTTTTCCACAAAGGTTAATATGAAACTCATCTACAAAAATTCCATAGAGAAAGAGGGAGGGGAAAATGAGTAATTGGTATGATATGCTTGTGTGTGTGGTATGAGAAAAGCCTCATGCAGACCAAACAAAAACCATTACTCATTACAATAAAAAAATAAACATGCGCAAATTTTAATCATTAGTTTTTATAGTTTGATTTTGGTATCATTTTGATCTCTGTAATTTTAATTAATTCAATTTCAACCTTAATTTTTTTTATTATTTCAATTTAAACTAATTGACTGCAATCATTAACTTTTTTTTATTTTTAAATAATGAAAAGTGTGTACATAAGTAGAAAGTAGCATGTGTTATGCTTTTAAGAACAAAATTATGAATTTTCTTAAGTGAGCCAATCTCAATCATTTCATTAACGATTTTACTTCAAAAACACTAATTGACATTATTAATTGAATCAAATTAATAGAAAAATTAAAATTAAAGTGAATATAAAAATGTGAGAATCAAAATAATATATGAGACAAAATACAAAAACTTCCAATTTAATTTACCCAATAAACATTTCCACTTTTCCTAGCCTGATTCCAGGGAAGATCCAAGGCTACAGGTTGGCAAGCTCAACTTGCAACTAAGACAAGAAAATAAAACAAACAACAAAATCAAATCAAGGCCCAAAAGAAACACAAACCAAAAAAAAAAAAAAAAAGCTATGGTGAAGAAGAATATTTTTTTATGATTTTCGGGCAAATCTTCAGAAAAATAATAAGAAATAAAAATTTAGTTCTCAATCTATATTGAAGAGTGTTGTTTAGACTCATAGAATTTGCTACAAGTTTCATTATGATAATCTAAACTATTCATTTTTTTTTTTTAATTTTCAATTATTTAGTATTTTTAGAGTACTACTCCACATTATTTATGTTAGAATACTTGTCCAATTATATCTTACAAAAGAAAAAAATAATTACTTAAAATATTAAAATAATTTAATAAAAATACAAAAAATAAGAAAATAATTTTTTTTGAAAAGTATTTTTTAAAAACTCCGCTCTCTACCAACTGGTTAACCATGATAGAGATATGAATTCATTTAAAAATATATTAAAAAATAATTGGGATCTCTTATTTTTTTTAATTTACATGTTGTTTTCGCAGAAGGACCGGGAGCCAATGAAAGAAGACGCCATCTTTGACTTTAGCACTCAATTTCTACTTCTCCTCACAAGAGACTGCTAAAGCTTTTTTCACTCAAGAAAACTCAACAACCTCCCTCTTTGCTTTTGCTTCTGCTTCTGTTCTGTAATCGGAAACAATGCCTATAGCAGAGATCTTCCTCTCTGCCTTCGTCAAATTGCTGTTTGAGAAGATGTCCTCTTTTGCCTCCTCCAAATTACTCACCTTTGAAGGTATTGCTGCGCAGCTCACCAATTGGACCAGTATGCTGTCTCAAATTCAAGCTCTTCTGATTGACGCGGAGGACAAGCAACTGACTGAAGTAGCCGTGAACATGTGGCTCAACGATCTCCAAGATCTGGCATATGATTTGGACGATTTAGTGGATGAGTTCGCCACCGAAGCTTTGCAACAGAATCTCAAGGCAAAGCCGCCCCAAGCTAGTTCCAGCAAGGTATGGAATCCCATCCCAAATTTCAAGTCAAGAGATGTTATGTTTAATTTCAAAATGAGGTCCAAGATTGAGGAGATCAATACCAGATTACGCACTAGTGTTTATCGATCTTCGCAACTTAATTTGGTTAAGATTGTTGAAACCACCACATCTACTAAGACTTGGCAAAGACCAGAGTCTACATCTTTATTTGATGAACCTCGCGTTTACGGCCGAGAACACGATCAGAGTAAGATAATTGAGTTGCTCGTAAAGGGGGATGAATCAAGTCATAACAACGTTGGTGTAATTCCCATTGTGGGTATGGGTGGGATTGGCAAGACCACCCTTGCTCAGCTGGTATACAAGGATGAAACCGTGAAGGAGTATTTCAATCTGAAAGCATGGGTCTGTGTGTCAAATGAGTTTGACATTATGAAAATAACAAAAACTATTTATGATTCAGTGACTTCCCAAACATGTAGTTTTAATAACTTGGATCAAGCTCAAGTTCAACTACAGAAGGCTTTGGCAGGAAGGAAGTTCTTAATTATTTTAGACGATGTCTGGAACGATGATTACAATGCTTGGAATGTTTTGAAGAAACCTTTCAATGATGGAGCCCAAGGGCGTAAAGTCGTTGTGACAACACGTAACAGAGACATTGCAACAATGATGGCAACTGTTGAACTTCATGACGTTAAGATCCTATCAGATGAGGATTGTTGGTCATTGTTTGCACAACATGCCTTTGCGAATACAAGTATTGATGCAAATCCAAATTTGGTATCAATTGGTAAGAAAATTGTGGAGAAATGTAAAGGTTTGCCTCTCGCTGCTAGGACACTTGGTGGCCTTTTACGCAACAAAGTACGAGATGAGGAATGGGTAAATGTATTGCGTAGTAAAATATGGGATTTATCACACAAAAAAAGTGACATCCTTCCTGCTTTGAGATTAAGCTACCATGACCTTCCTTCACATTTAAAGCTGTGCTTTGCATACTGCTCAATAATACCCAACGACTGTGAATTTGAGGAAGAGGAGCTAGTCTTGTTGTAGATGGCAGAGGGCTTCCTTCAACAACAAAGAGAGAAGCAAATGGAAGATGTAGGAGCTGAGTACTTCCATGAATTGTTGTCAAGGTCTTTTTTCTAACCATCTAGTACCGGTAAAAGCTCTAAATTTGTGATGCATGACCTCATCAATGATTTGGCTCAAGTAGTTGCAAGAGATACTTGTTTTAGAATGGAGGATAGATTGAACGATCAGGAGCAGTACAAGAATCTAAAGAAAGCTCGACATTCATCTTACATGCAGGAGTACCATGAGGGTATGAAAAAATTTGAGATCTTTGACAAAGCCATGCATTTACGGACTTTCTTACCATTTTGCTCAAAATATAGATGGGGTAATAATTTGGCAAGCAATGTTCCCCTTAATCTATTCCCGAAGCTAAGACGCTTGAGGGTGCTCAATATGAGTGGATATTCCATCACAGAAGTTCCAAATTCAATTGGAGATTTAAAACATCTGCGGTATCTTAACCTTTCCAATACCTTTATTAAAGAATTACCTGAATCATTAGGGTCTCTCTACAATCTACAAACATTGATGTTAAGAGAATGTCGAAATCTAAAAAAGTTGCCAACAAACTTGGGAAACCTAATTGACCTACGTCATCTCGATACTACAGATGCACATTCCTTAGAAGAAATGCCATTGGGAATAGGTAAGTTGGTTAGTCTTCAAACACTGTCCAATTTCGTTGTTAGTAAAAACAATGGGCTTCGGATAAAAGAGTTGGGGAACTTAATTTATCTACGGGGGAAGCTTTGCCTATCTGGATTACAGAATGTGGTGAATCCTCTAGATGCAAGAGAGGCGAATTTAAATGATAAGCAGGGCTTAAATGTGTTATTGATGGAATGGAGTGTGAACTCAGATGATTCACGGGATGGAAGAGTAGAAACAGAAGTGCTTGACATGCTACGACCTCACAAGAATTTAAAAAAGCTCCATATCAAAGGCTACCTTGGTTCAAGATTTCCGACTTGGATAGGAGATCCTCTGTTCTCCAATATGGCTGGCCTACATTTAGATAATTGTGGAAATTGTGCATTCTTGCCACCACTTGGACAACTACCCTCCCTCAAAAAGCTTTACATTAAAGGAATGAGTGTACTAAAGCATGTCGGTTGTGAGTTCTACGGGCAGGGTGATGTTCAACCTTTTCCGTTACTGGAGACTCTAAGCTTTGAGAATATGCTAGAATGGGAGGATTGGTATACTTTTGGAGATCACAAGGAAGTTCAACCATTCACTCGTGTCAAGCATCTCTCCATAATAAAATGTCCCAAACTTCTTAAAATGTTGCCTACTGATCTACCTTGTTTGAATAATCTAGAGATTAGGGACTGCCCCAAACTCTGCGGGATGATGCCCAAGGATCTACATTGTTTGAATAATCTAGAGATTTCAGAGTGCCCACAATTCCCAGTTGAAGGTTCCAGCATTAGTCTCCCATCACTCACCTCGATAGCTATGAATGACGTTCCTCTAACAAGCCTTGAAGTGGTCCTTGAGATGAGGAGTATGGATGGTGAAGTGATATCGGCAAATGCAAAGTCTACGCATCCAAATTCAATGATTTCCTTGAGCATTGGCATGATTAAGAAACTTGAGCTCTTGCCGAAATGGGTTACTCATGAGCTGATGGAACTCGAAGCATTGAAGATTACTAGCTGTGAAGAACTCAAGACACTGTGGAAGAATGAGGCGAGAGTGCAACACAGTCTCCCTGCATTCCGACGTTTGGAAATTGAAGGCTGCCCCCAGCTTGTTTCATTGTTTGAGGGAGATGAGGATGAAGAAAATGAAGGGCAACATCAGCAACAACAAGAAGAGGGACTGTCTTGCATGGTGAGGCTTGAGCATCTAAGAATAGATAATTGTGAAAAGCTGGAGAAACTGCCACGGCTGCTACATAACTTCACTTTTCTTGGAGAGTTGTATGTCTATAAGTGTCCGAGTCTCAGCTCTTTTCCGGAGACAGGTTTTCCGTGCACGCTGAAAACACTCAGGATAGGTGATTGTGAGGCTCTGCAATCCTTATTCGGGTGTTTAACACAGATTAATGACAGTAATCTTCAAGTGTTAGATGTTCAAGATTGTCCATCCCTCACATGCTTAATATCGTGCAGAGGTGGGAGGCTACCACCCACACTCAAAGAGCTTCAGATTAGGAGGTGTAAAAAGTTGGAGGCACTGCTAGAAGAGGAGAGGATGGAAATTAACTATCCATCTCTTGAGTCTGTTTGGATCAGTGGTTGTGATAGGCTGAAATACTTGCCAGATGCCCTTCCTAATAATAATAATCTCAGGAATCTCAGTCAATTGATCTTGTATGGTTGTAAGAATTTGGAGTGCATTCCGGAAGGATGGTTCCACTCCACAACAAATCTGACAAAATTGAATATCAGGGGATGCAAAAAACTGAAGGCCCTACCACACGGATTATATATTTTGATAAAAAATGACAGGGAAGTGTGAAAAGGGGAAAGGCAAATATTGGCCCCACTTAGCTCACATTCCTGAAGTCAACGTACGTGATGCTTCTAAGTTTTAAACCGTGTGGAGATTCCCACCGCAATACAAGCAGTCAAATTGCCAGGTATCAAAACAGAAACTAATTTGATAAATATAAACATTTAAAAATTATTTTCTGATTTTAAAAACAAAATATTTTTTCAAAAATAGAAAATCATATGAAAAACCATAACTGTTTTTCATTTTTGTTTTTATTTTTTATTTTTTTTACTTTTACAAATTTAAAAAAACTTAATCAAACAATCAAATTGATAGCAAAGATTTCATTGCTAATTTTTAAAGTCTTTTTGATCATCGATTTTCAAATTTTTTTTTCAATGAGGGATCACTGAAGTATGCAGTACATCATATTTTCAAGTTAATCAAATTTTTTTGGATGAGGAAGTTATTTGCAAATTCATATAAAAATTTAAAATAAAATGAATTTGTATTTTGAATTAATAAAAAATATTTTTAAAAATAATGAAAAAAATATGTTAAATTTAAATTCGGAGGACCATTATGGAATGAGTAAATAATTTTTAAAATTTTGTTTGGTTTTGGAGTTTTCAAAAATAGTTTTAAATTTTTAATTTGTATTTTTTTAATATATTGGCTAATTTGTTTTATTTTTTATTTTTTATTTTTTAAATGCATCTAATCTACATATATTTTTAAAAAAATTAAAAAATCTTTAAAAATTAAATAAATACAAAATACATACGAAAATGTATTAAATTTGTATATTTGTTAATTTTTAGTGATTTTTTTAATGATTTTTTTCATAAATTTTATACGTTTTAGGTGTATTTAGATTGAGTGAATCTAAAAACTTTAAAAATATTGATTAAATTACTTAAAAAGTTCACTAAAAACAATAAAATATGGATTGAAACTTAAAAACCAATTTTGAAAACTCCAAAACCAAACAGAGTTTCAAAAATTATTTCAAATTCTAAAAACTAAATATGTTTTGGATTTCCAAATTTCTAAAAACTATTTTTAGAATATACAGCCAAACAAATTTTTAGAAAATTATCTTTCAAAATTGATTATGAAAATCAAACCTTAGTTTTTTGGGTTTTCTCGGCTAGTCATTAATAAATTATTTTTATATTTGTTCAGTTGTTGCCTATCTAGTGACTGGGAAAAGTTAGATTGAAAGTGATTAAAGCTAGTACAAATTCTTGTTAAGGTGGAATTTTTTGGCCGGTCAAATGAGGGTAATGTTCTTGTTAAGGTGGAATTTTTTGGCTGGTCAAATGAGGGTAATGTTTAAAAAAAGGAAAGAGAATGAAATGCTATGAAATTATGTAAGTAGTTTGCAAATGCTTAGAAAAATAAAACAATTTTTTTTTGTTGTCATAAGGGCTAACTTAAAAAGTTACAAACAAATATATGCATATGAGGCGTCCAAATTTCATTTTGGCGAGCTGTTCTAAAAATATGGAAACTGAAAGTAATTTTAGTTGTATTCCTGGAGTTGTTACATTTTTTGCATGAAAAGAATTCAAAGTATTAAGTGTATCAATTTATAAGGGATTACTTGATACAGAAATGTACTTTCAAGTATCTGAATACAAAGAAAGGCTTCTTCCGATAGACTTCCTCGTTTGCTTTTATTTCCCGAGGGAACCACAACAAATGGAAGACTTCTCATTTCTTTCCAACTTGGTGCATTTGTCCCCGGATATCCTCTCCATTCAGTGATTGTTCGCTACCCCCATGTACACTTTGACCACTCTTGGTAAGAATTTTCTTTAGTTGAAACCGTTTTAGTGTTGTCTTTTGTAATATCTTTACTTAACTTGCATCATATGGCCTTTCATTTTGTTTAGGGGAAATATAGCTTTGGGAAAGCTTATGTTTAGAATGTTCAGAGTTTCACAATTTTATGGAGGTATGTTGAGTGATTTTTTTATTTATCTATAGTTGCATATACTGTAAATGTAGTGAGCTTAGCTTCCCCCACTATTTTTGTTTGTAAAATTTTTGGGTAGTATAGTGTATGAGGTGGCAATTCATATATATAGGTTGTTATAGTGATGCCCCAATTTGCTATTTTTCTTTTGATAACTAACTCATTCTCGCAGATCATCACTACTGATTATTCATCAGCTTAAATGTACATGCATTTACATGATGTGTCCCTAACTATATTATAAATTGAATTTTGGTTACTGAATAACTTGTATGTTATAAAAAGTTGAATGAAGTCATTCATTAAATTATACAGGTAAAGTATCTTCCTGTTGTTTTACCCCTTGAAAATTAGTAGGAAAATGCTACCCGTTTTGCTCAGAAGGTGAGTCGACATTATTTGATTAATCTTTGCTACCTTGTTGGCTTTAGTTGATATTTTAATATTAAGTACATTCTTATTTATCAACAACAAAAAAAAAAGTATATTCTTATACATCAAAGTTTTTAATGGGCACATTACATAAAATTTGTCAATTTTTTGTATATTTGTTAACATGTTCTGTATTTCATATGCTTAATCTCCTAAGCAATTCAGAACCAGTGGATGTTTAACACACCATAAATATTGTAATTGAATTTGTATAATGTCATGTCTACTGCATTTGTATGTGGAAGCCTGCTTTTTTTGTGCACAAATAATCAGCCAATTGATGATTCCTGGTCTTTGGATTTCAAGTAATATTATATACATATAAAGATCAAAATTTCGTTACGGTGTGTTGTTTCAAATAGTACAGAAACAAAAACATCTCGGAAAATATTTTATGAAATGAAGATAAAATAAAAAAATTTTGAAAATATAAATTGAAATATATCTAAATTTATAAAAGCCTAATAATTGATCAATTAAACAAATTGAGATTCATATAGTCATTCACGTAAAAGAATTAAAAAACTAATGTTACTATGAACTAAAAATTATTAAGTATTGTCAAATAACTCAATTTTATTAAGAAAGGAGTTTCCAATAAGGTCTAAAATTTTACTTAAGCAGTAGTAATAAATGTTTATGAAAATTTCTAAATTTTTATAGATACAATTTATTCTTTCAATATATCACTTTTGATGTGTTTCAATGAAAACACTTAATTTTATTATTCCACTAGTGTTTCACTTCGGTCTCTTGGGCAATGGAAACATTTCGGCCATTTCAATGGAAACAAATGAAAATTTTGTTCCTCATATATATTAAAGATAAATCCATGTCAAAAAGTTTTTCATTCATGTGTTGTCTATGTTTTTCATGTTATTTGGTTCCAAACAAATGGCATATGGTACCTATTAAAATTGGGTGTAACTGCACATGCAACAGCCCTCGTGTCTTCTATGTGCACTATGTTAAACTTATTACAATTGGAGGAATAGTTTCCTATTGTCCATCTTTAGTTTGGGAAATTTTTCCCTTTTGTATTCTTTTAGTAGCTGTTGGTGTATTGCCTTGACTCTTAGGGGCAGAGCTATGTATAACAAAGTTAGGTCAAGTGAAGTGACCCCACTGGAAATTTGAAAATCTGAAATTATTATTCAGACCTTTTGAAAATTTTATTTTAAATGAGGTCAATCTTGTACACTAAAAAGTATGAACTATTTTCATAAAGCATAGAAATTAATATATACTCATGTTACCCTTTTTTTCCTTCTAATATTTTTGTTATCCTTTTTCATTTTCTTCTTTCTTTGAATTCTTTTGTAGGTGTTCACATGTTATTTACCTTATACATCACTATTTTCCTAATATCCAAGGAGATGATTACGACATTATGTTACAGTTTAGGTGAGGATTTATGCTTATATTTAAAAAATGGGTTAAAAAAAGAGAACTTATGGCATTAAAAAGGAATTGTCAGCAAACAATCCTTATGTTCAAAGAATATATCTGAATTAAATTTGTTCAAAATTTTAATAAAGGAAAATATTATGCATTTATGATTTATGGAATCAATTGTTTAACTTTATTACCATTTATGGAATTTTAGTATTAGTGATGCAAGTAGTCATTTATTAGATTTTTGTAAAAATTAACTATTGTGGTTTTTGCTTTCATTATCGTATTTGTATTTGGTAACTATAAATTACTTGATCCAGCTTTGTGTATTGAACAAGTTTATTAGTGTAATTTATGCAAAATTGAAGGCTGATATTAGTGGTGAATTGTTTAATGGACGTTTCTAGCTCTGCCGTGATTGATTCTTAGAACTTCTTCTTTGTAATATGGAGAAGAATCCTATTTTTGTGAACTTGATTATTATCTAACAGCACACTCCATTTTGGATTTGTCTTGATTTGCCACTTGAGTTGCCTTGAGTATGTATTATTCTCTCTAAGTTATTTGTGGATATTGAGTTTTTAATCTATCAATTCATTCCTGATGGATATATGCAGACTAGCCATGCTATAGCTACCTTTCTTAATGTTACACATGAAGAAGTTATTGAAACTGAATGATTTTCATTAGATTGAAAACTCAGAGATACAATACCTTATATACACTCCACATGTTTACAAAATATCTAACTAAAATATCTACCTAACTCACTCTGTTACATCAAGTTGAACTAACACTCGACTTGTTTGGTTTGCAGGACAACATATCTGTGGTCTAGTCTTGGATTGAATCCTGGAATATTTCTTAGTCTTGATTGGTTACACTAACTGTACAAACATCTCATTCCTATGGGGACATCATGCTGCTTGCAAAAGCTTCCGAGTCCAAGCATATCACTTTTCGTGCTCCATGTGCTTTGGCTTTTATAGTTTATCTTGCTTTTAGGTCGGCAAAAATGATCTTGTACTTCATTCAAACATTCTATGAAGTGTTAGATTTCAGCTTCTAAACTTAATTTGATGGCCTTTTTTGTGATGGACCAAGAATATTTAATGTAGCTGCAATGATGGAATTTACATTGTCTCCTTGGGATCTCATAATGTATTAGGTGTAGGCCTTGAAGCACACCATTTAACGCTTATAATTCCTTTCCTCCAAAATAAATAAGTTGAATTACTGTTTTTGTTCATGACTATTGATTAATCTATATATTACTGAATTGAGGAAGGATCACAGATTAATTTGAAAAAACAGAGGTGAAAAACGTAGCAGAAAAGTCTTGGAAAAATTGATGTGCCAGTAAAAGGTCTTGTATTGCTTTAGTTCTAGCAAGGAGATTTTTCCATATCAACTAAACAGATCTTTAAAATGTAAATACGGTATTACTTCTATCTATGTTAACTGGTTTCTTGTCTATGGTTTTAGTAAACAATGAATTGTTAATTAATGGAACATGAAAAAATAAAATACCTTGGAAATGAAATTTAAGGTCTCAATTTTGTGGGAAGAAGAGTATACATTATGTTGATGTTTGGTGCATTATGTTTGAGTCATAGCACTTGACATGTACACCTTTAATCTTTAGTGAAGGTGTAGATAAGCCAAATCAAGCAATATATCTGGCAGTCCAAATTCTTAAGCATACTTCTAGCTGCTTAACCTTGGCTGGTGACGAGTAGACTATTTGCAAACTTGGCAAGAGCTAAGCCAATCTTGCTCAAGCTCAGCTCAAAGTTTTCAGACAAAAGACTGAATTCCTAATCTTGGATAAGCTTTACGATGTCGGAAAGTCAAAAGAATAGGGGCCTTTGGGTAAAATGGGGAAAAGTAGGGATTTTTTTTATCACGGTGCATTAGAATGGATTCTCACTTTGTTCCTTCATCAGCTTTAACAAAACTCAAGGAGTAAAATTAGCATAATGACCTGCCTGATATTTGGAATTGGACAAAAATTCCCACAACCTGTCATGTCATACTTCAACTCTCTTTCACACACATTACTAAAAATATTTTAGTGTACTCTGGTTTGCCTAGTTTGATTTCTTTCAAATTGGGTTGATTCATAGAACTTGACCTTTGTTCGTTCAGCTCAACAATCTAAATTTTGCGAGCACCAAGCAAATTGTACTCAAGGCTACAGCTGCTTGGTTGAACAATCTAAATTTTGCGAGCACCAAGCAAATTGTACTCAAGGCTACAGCTGCTTGGTTCTTTTAACAGTTGTAACCTTGAGGTATGGAGAATCTTACCTAGACATGAGCTTTTTGTGTGGTTAATTTCTAACAGCTTTCATTTCTCCGTCATATGTTTCCACTTTGATGGAAGAGCATTTTTTTTTTGGCCATATGTCTTGCTCCTTCCAGGCAATATAAACGTTGTTTGGCAACGATGTGTTTGTTCAGAGTGTTTATTGCCTAGCCTACTGTCCAGGAACTTTCCCCCTTGCAACTTTATCTTCATGGGTTTCTTTAATATTTTTTCATATTTATTTGGAAAACTTTTTGTAAATTTTTCATATTGTCTACTAACTTCTATACAAGCCTTTTTCTAATAAATAATAATGCTAAATTATTTAAAGAGCCATGCTAATTAATGACAGCCCAATAGGCAAATCAAGATCCTCTCCTTGAATCTCTCATTCACCCCCTACTTGCACGGCTATTAGGCCCACTTTTGGACTCAATTTCGATAATTCGAACCGTTCACATTTTAAGATTTATTGAGTATATCATACTTGTAAAAAATTAAGTTGATCAGATATCAGAAAGCATGTGTTCGAAAAATTGTTTACTAAATTTTTTTAAAAAATAGTTTTTAATTTGATGATCCAACACATACTTTATGATATCTGATCAACTTGATTTTTTACAAATATGATATACTCAATAAATTTTAAAATATGAACGGTTTAGATCATCAAAATTGGGCCCAAAAGTGAACCCAATAACCGTGCAAGTAGAAAGTGAAGAAGAGAACTCAAAGAGAAGATCTTAATTCCCAATAGGCTGCCAATAAGGGGAAGAAAACGCCAAAAGTATTTTTTACCCATCCCAAAGCATTTTCACGCATGTATTTAGATTTTTCACAAATTTGGATACACTTTTTACACATCTACTCATTATGATTTTAGAAATTATAATTTTTCCCTCGTCATGAGTAGGAAAGAGGCATACACCAACTATTTAAAGAAATTACAATGATAGCTGTGAAGGAGAGAGATGGTCGTGTGGTAGAGTGGGGGACAAGGATAGAAAGTAGTTGGAATGAAAGAAAAATAAGAATAAGTTTGAGGACAAAGGAAAGGGAAATTTAATTATGAAAAAAATAGGGTTATTTTTATTTTTTTTCTTCAACTCTGTCCCTTCCCTACTTTTGCTGCTTACTCTTACTCCCACCCGTACAACATTTTTTTGAAACACTTTGATAGTGCTCTTGTATCAAAATCTAAATAATGAATTAGAGTACCAGAAGTCATCTCCTTATTAATCTAACCCTACCCACCACTCCTATCCCCACTTGTACTTGAAAAAGAAAATAATAATAAACAAACAATTTATCAACCCCTCAGCCAAATGGATCTTGGTTTAACATTCAGCATAGGCATCATTATTGTGATTTCAAAGCAAGAGACTTACATATTTTTTCTCTGCTTTTTTATTTTTTAGTAAATGTTTTTGTGACTACTTTCTTCTTCTCGTGTGAGACCTGCCATTATTGTGTTCACACTTTACTTTCTTCTTTTCTGTTTGTCATTTTCTTTCTTTCTTTTTTTGTATTTTTTTTTTTTTTTTGGGGTTTTTTTTTTGGAGGGGGCGGGGGCAAATTTTTAAAAAAAAAAAAAAAAAAAAAAAAAAAAAAAAAAACTCGTAAGGTTTCACGCGTTTTTCACTTTAAATCCCAATATTTCAATTTTAACAAATTAAACACTAGAGTTCCGTCCGTATTTCAATGTGCTCCCCTCCTTTGTCCATCTCCGTCTATGTAAGGTAACGGAAAATCGTTTCAAGTTTAAAGTGAAAAGCACGTAAAACTTTGTATTTTTTTTTGTAATTAACCCCAATATTTAATTTTTTTATGTGTGCATATATATAACTTACATATCTTATTGTATATGTACATGTGTCCTTATATATATATGGTGAAATTTTGTTATTCAAATTTTGACTCTTCTAAGGATAAAATTTTGATGACTATGTAAGAAGGGTTACCTAAAATGTAAGAGACACTTATCAGTGTTTCAATGGATTAAGGCTACCTGAAATATAAGAGGCACTTATCAATGTTTTAATAGATTAATGTTATTTTTAGTCATCAAAATTAGAGACGACATCAAAATTTACTCCCTTCGTCCAATATTGATGGTATCTTTTTGAAAATTCAAATTTTAAATAATTTTTTCACTTGAAAACCTAATATTTTTCATTTTAAACCCCAAAATGATTCTCCGTTACCTTATATAGACGGAGATGGACGAAGGAGGGGGCATATTAAAATATGGATGAAACTCTAAAATTTAATTTGTTGAGATTTAAACTAAAAAACGGGTTAAACCTTTAAAAAAAAAAAATTGTAATTAATCCATTTTTTTAGGTATTCAGGATTTGGGCCTAGTTTGGATAAAAGCCCGGATTGGGTTTCAAAAACAAAAAAGTGTATGCATTCACTTTGATTTTTTTCATAATTTTTAAAATTGAGATTTATTTAATCCTCTTAAAAATAAAATTTATTTAATCCTCTTAAAAATAAAATTTATTTGAAAGAAGTGATTTCATGAAAGAGTATTGATTATATATATCTTTTTGAATTTTTTTGAGAAATGAACTTGTATATGATTTTTTTTAGGTTAATCATATTGTTTTGGAAAATATGTTTTGGCCTACTACCCATTTATTTGTATTAAAAAATAATTTCAAGTAATAATATCAAATTTTGTTATAGCTACAATTAGGAGGAGGAAACTCGAATCTCCACATTATCAGTGGGCATCTTCAACTAATTAATGTGTCATCAATGTATTGATTTAATAAATCTCCTCTTTCATGTCCTATAACAAATACATTAGTGACACATAAATAATCTAAAATTTAGTCAACATAACATAACTGAATTGAAATTATCCAAACAAGCAATTATTAATACAGTTGAAAAACAAAAAGGAATCCAAACATGCAACAAGTTCCTGCTGATGAACATCCAATGCAATCAGCCAATCCATGAATCTACACATTTTCTCACAAAAACAGGTTCTCCATATGTAGCATCATATCATTTTGACCATTTGCATTATATAGGATGATCAAAACTAATAGCTAAGAAAGTACTCTAAGATTATGGAATGCAACGTGATTAGTGAGATAAGAAAGTCCTTCTAGACAGTTTAATGAGAGCCTACCAAAATTTATCAAATTGGAATACGATTGAAGAAAGAAAAAGAACAGTCACCCATTTCACGCGGGGGGCATTATCGGAACAAAAATGTCCATGTGACTGATCAACAAATGTGTCTGCTACTGCCACTAATTTAGCTATACTTCTGTACAATTTATACCGAAGGCTTCAAGTAAACCGCTGTACAGTTCTTTGTGATTTTTTTTTTCTTTTATACAATTTATTTTTGATTTTATTTTTATTATATCAGTCCTTATCTTTGGGAGATGGGACTAGTGTTCCTTCAGTGATTTGATTATCATCTGAAGAATCGGAGGGTTGAGATCTGGGTTTACTCATGATCCAAGAGTATCCATAACCAAGAGAGCTTCCACTTGCTTCAGAGAGCTGCATGCAGTATTTGATTGTGGTAGCTCAGTCAAAATCCAGATGAAAAAAAAAATGTAAATATATATATCTCTTTGGTCCTATACTAACAAGACATAACTGCAAAAAATATATGTATTGAGATTTGGATGATCTGAGAGTATCCATAACCAAGAGAGCTTCCACTTGCTTCAGAGAGCTGCATGCAGTATTTGATTGTGGTAGCTCAGTCAAAATCCAGATGAAAAAAAAAATGTAAATATATATATCTCTTTGGTCCTATACTAACAAGACATAACTGAATTGTGCAAATCAAACGTTAATAAGTATCTAGGTAAGCTTAGAAAGATGGTGAGACCTAAACTCGTTGATAGTAGCTGCTATTTCTGACACCTAACAAGGAAAGACAAGATAACGTAAAGACACTCG